CTCAGCGGATTTGGGCTGTACTCAGCAAGCGCAGTACAGCTTCCAACTCAGATCTGAAAAAAAATTAGTGGATGGTTGTTTTCTGACTGGTCGGCCCTACTGGTCGGCTGCAATACGGTCGGCGGTCGGGGTTGGCGGTCGGCAGGGATGCAACCATGACAGGTTCCAATCTATTCGTGGGGAGCATCACGTGCTGAGAACCGGGCTCAGCGTCCCTTCTGAAATACATAGTTGAAAGTTTGCAGGTTTGAGAAAATAGTCATGAACCTGAGGCGATCAGAAGTCACAGTGCTGGAAAACGGCTCCAGCGTCCCATATTTAGGTGTGCAGCCCGTCTCCCTTCCCTAACCCTTGGGCTGGCACGGATACCAGAAGGAGCCCCTGGGGGCCACCAGCGAGCCCTTCTTTCATCTCCTTGCCCGCCTGAAATGTCCCCCCAAAACTGTCCCAAATCGGTGCTATCCTTCTGCTGTCCTCATGCGAAATATGCGAAGAGTCCTATGCTGAGAACCGGGCTCAGCATCCCTTCAGAATACACTTGAGTAAACGGATAGAGATACATATGAGCAGCATCCAGTGCTGTGAACTGGGCCCGACATCCCTTGTCTTGTTCTAGCTACTTAGGGAAAAGAACACCATTACTTCTGAAAGCTTGAAGGCATGGTAGAGCAATCCTAAGCAGTCATGAGCCACAGCCCCGAGAACCGGGTCCCGCATGCAAGAAAGAGTCTAGGTAATGAGCCTGAGAGGCCTACGACCCCAGCATCCCTTGTCCTGGTCTCATTACTCGGCAAGCTACAGATGCCGGATCCTGATCCAATATCCTGTCTTTCTGCGGACGACAACAGGAAATGTCACAATCGTATTTCCAAGGACTGTGAGTGGGGGGGAACGGGTCCGGAAACTCCTCTGCTGGCCTCAGGGGGACGTCAAAGTCGATTGTCAGCCACCCTTTGAACCTCAGTCGGTAGTCTCGTGGCACTGCCTCCCTTCCGTGTCTTCCCTCCCCTCCATCCCCTCTTTCCAAATCTCCTGACCAGCACACCTCTGCTACCCACCCCTCCCGATCCCCACCCAACCAATCCCTCGAGAACTGCACTAGCCGCTTCGAGATGTCTTTAGACCTGTGGAGGGTGTCCAGTGACAGCTTGACTGACTTCCACCTGTGCGTGAGCTCTAATTGGAAGTGCTGTTTGAATTGTTCAATCCTCTCCTCTCCCTCCACCCGAACCTGGTCCAAGGTCAGAGCACATCGTTGCCACCATAGGACCCACAGGACCGTTCTTCGTCCCAGGTGAAACATGTTCCAGGCAAAAGTGTCCCCTTGGAGGGGCGGGCAGAGTCAGCAGACCTATATCGTAGATTGCTCCAGCACAACATTTATTACCCTGGGGACCACAGGAGATCACTGGGAGACCCAAGATAGAAATGTCCAAGAGTCAGGGCTCTCCAACCACTCACCAGAGAAGCAAGCATCAGTCATCCATTTCCTAACCAGGAAAGTTCCACCAAACAATTTCCCCCAGGGGGAATGGATCTGCAAAATCTGAGGCCGACGATATTTGATATGACTGATCAAAACTTGTCCAATCCGCACAACTACTGGTACGTGAACCCCCTGGGCCTTAGCCACATCCATCCTTGTTATTAACCTGGATTTTAGGTTCTTCAGCCAATCCCTGCAGAAGTCATTAATTTGAGTTTTCTTATTTTCAGAATGCTTATGTAAGAGCAACCATTTCGTTAAAAAATATATTTTTTGGGGTAACTTCAGTAGAGTCACAAAAACGAGTTATAATTGCACTCTGGGGCAAGATACAGTTTGCAATTGCACCTCGGGCACCCTACCTGGCCAGAAAGCTGGGTTGTATACATTGCCCGAACTGCAATTCGAAACTGTATCTTGGCCCATAGTGCAATTATAACTCATTTTTGTGACTCCCGCGTAGTTTCCCCATTTTATTATTTTTTGAACAAAATTGAAACCGACTTATTTGACTCGAAAAATGTCAAATTTTTAGGTCTTTGAGGGTCCAGCGTTCTGAAAACGCTGGACCCTCTAGATGTATCTGGACTTAGCTGAAGTTCAAAAATTCAAGATAATGGCAGTGTCACATTCCTGGTTTCCTCTCCACGGGAAGATCACTATTTGTCTGCCGAGAGACTTTATCGCTTTCTCATTGAGCGGCCACGAGAGACTTGTACCAACGGGAGGCAAGCACTACATTATTAATTATTAGGGCTCTCCCAAAGAGGGAGGAGCGCTTGTCCTTCCAAGACGATAGTTTCTACTGCACCGGGGTTGTGTTACCCATTCATAATTGGAAATCAGACGAACATCGAGTGTCATAGAAACACCTAAGACTCTCACCGGTGCCTTCGATAGGATCCATCGCACCACGGGCGTGTCAGGTGGTCTTCTTCCCTGGTGGTGAATCCGCCATCCGTGCGTTTTATTACCCCAATTTGCAGTCATATCTGAGATCTTGCATAATCTGTCCATCAGCTTCTCTATTTCTAACTTGCTTTTTTCCATGGCATGTACTATGACTGTGAGGTCATCTGTGAAGAGTGTGCACACTGGGATGGCCTCCTCCGGGATTGCTGTCACAACCAGCTTTGCGTAGGTCTCAACTGGCCTGCAGCTTTACCGCCAACGCCTCCATTTTCCAGCAGGTGCAGCTCCCCACCAACAGATTGGAGCCTTAAAAAAAAAAAAAAAAAAAAAAAAAAAAAAAAAAAAACTATCACGAAGAGGAAGGGAGCGATGGGGTCTCCTTGGCAGACCAATCTTGCAAGGGGCATCCCATTTACTTGGACTCTTGTTCTGGCGCTGGTTTGCAGAATCGATACCCCTCTTCGAAACTGCGCCCCCAAATTCACTTTCTCGAGGCACATATCCAAGAAAAATCAGTCCACGTGATCATATGCCTTCTCAAAATCAATGAATATGAAGGACACATTGCTTTTCGCTTGTTGCATTAGTCTGAGCACCTCAGTTACGAATAGAATGTTCTCTTGTATGTTCCTACTTCTGATCAAGCCCGTCTAGGCAGAGTGAATGATTTCCTCCATGACCTCTATCAGTCTATTAGCTAAGGTCTTCGCTAGCACCTTGTAGACTACCGTCAGGAGCATAATCAGTTGATAGGCTCTATGAGTGCTAGATCTGTCTTTTGTGCTAAAACTCAAATCCACCCAAAACTGCTGGACCCCAATCCTGATGCTGGAGTACTTTTGGTGTGTCGGAGCAGGGTTGAGGGTTGAGAGAGGGGGTTATATGGCAAGGGTACAATTGTACATATTTGCCTCTCCCAAGTCCCAAGTTATCTGGAAGTTTGATCGATCCTTGGCTTTTCACGCCAGCTTTGAGGGTTGAGAGAGGGTTTTTTATGGCAAGGGTACAGCTGTCCACATTTGCTTTTCCCAATGTTTTATTTTCGTCCAAGTTACCTGGAAGTTTGATCCTTACTTCTGATTGCTAACCTCTGGATCTGATTGCTTGTGCAGATGTATACCATTTCCGGTCCTGATGCAACAAGGGAGATTGCTGATGCAGCGAAGGTTATCAGCTGGATGGAGAGAGGGCTAGCAGCATCGTTTCCTGAACCATTCCAACACACCGTACGCCCTAACTTATCAAAGCTGGCCTTAGCGGGCCACAGCCGTGGTGGGAAGGTTGTTTTTGGTATAGCTAAGGGGACAACGGCACCAATTTCCCTTAATATATCGGCGTTGATTGGAATCGATCCTGTCGATGGGACAGGCCAGGGAAAGTCCATTCCGCCACCTGTGCTAAACTTCTCTAAGAACTCCTTTGGTTTCAGCTTACCCACGCTTGTTATTGGATCCGGCCTCGGACCCATTCCCAAAGGCCTGCTTCTGCCTCCATGCGCTCCTGCCGAAGTTGGGCACAGAGTGTACTATGCGGACTCCTCACCCCCGAAATACCACTGTGTCTTGAAAGACTTTGGCCACATGGATTTTCTTGATGACTGTACGAAAGGGCTGCGAGGTACTCTCTCATATTGTGTCTGCAAAAACGGCTCTTGCCGGAAACTGGCAAGGAGATTCACTGGTGGTCTGCTAGTGGCTTTTTTAAAGGCAGTACTGTTGCAAGACCGAGAGGATCTTGACACCATTTTCAACAGGCCAGCACTTGCACCCATTCAGCTTTCTCTTCTAGAGAAGGAGGAGATTGTTCAAGCTGGTAGCCCTGCAATTCAGAAAACATCTTAGGTGGCAGGCGGCGCTTTTATAATCATAAGACAGGATCTATAATTGATTTTAAAGCACGATTTGCATGGTTGAACGTTACAGAGTGCTTTGGATTGTGCAACAATGTTGGCCTTAGAAATTGTGACTTTCACATTTATGTCGCTGGGTTAAACACTCATTTGGCACCTTTGTACTTCTGTATCAAAACAGGACGTCGTGTTGCTTCCCGCCATAGAAGAGAGCTGACTGAAGATGGCGGTAACGAATCCCAGATTATGGGATGAAGATGTCCAACTTGAATAATAGTCAGAAGATGAAATGCCTAGAGCACGTTAACATGTTTACGATGGACAGCCCACTAGTGGCAATCAAGTTGAACGCTCATCCAAAGATGGAGAATGAAAATACGATGTGAGGGAAATTTGAATGTGGACAGGTAGTACGATGCTCCGAGTACTCATCAATTAACATCCGATGTCTCTCGTCCTTGGGGACATCCGCCAAAATTGGAACGATACAGAGAAGATTAGCATGGCCCCCTCCGTAAAGGATTTTTCATGGTGAAAAAAACATTCAATTTCTCACTAAATCTGAGAGTGCCCCCTTCCCCCCCCTCCTGCGGCCTCAGTGCTTTGTATGGTTGATTCATCATGGGACGCTGGACCTGGTTTCCAGCAGGTGCAGCTCCCCACCAATAGAAAGAAGCTATCTGGGTGGGAGGGTGCTATCCGGGGCCGCGAGAGAGGGTTAATGGAAGGCCAGAAATTCGGGTTTTTTCGCCACATCACCACAAGCAATGTCATCAAAAAAATTTGCGAACAAACAATGCAGGCTTTTTTTTTTTTTTTAAAGAACAACCTGAGTTGATGCCAGAGGTGCTGATATGGGCAGGCACCGCTAGCACTCCCTGGGAGGCTCCATCTACTGGTGGTGAGCAGCACCTGCTGGAAAGCGGGTCCAGCATCCCTAAACATTGGGAATTGTTGAATGGCTTTGACTGTGGTGACAAAACGCTGTCTTTTACAGCTACCTATGCTTGACTCCCAGTTTGTGTAGGCAATCCATCCTCCCTTTCCCCTGCCCCCACCCTTCAATCAGTAAACGCTTCTGGATTCTCTATACTATCCTTTTGCTCCTTCCATCACTTGTTTTGTTTTTGATCTGCCTCTTCAGCCAGCTTCGTGGCCGCCTGATGAAAATAGTATAACTAGCAGACTCGCTTTGGAGTACCCTCCCCCTTTTTAACTACCAGGACGAGACTGCCTCCTCACTTCCCTTGGGGGTGCCTTGGGGGCGCCTAGACTTCCTTTGTTTGCTGGCCGACTCATGACTGTATTGTCTCACTTATCTGCTGTGTGTCTTCCATTCTGAGTATGCTGGGCTTTTTCGCTAAACCCTGAGCCCTAGACCCTATTCTTCCTTTGCCCCGTGCCTGTTGCCTGTACTAAATCCAACTCCCTTTTTTTTTCTTTTTTTTTTCTCCCGGCTGTCCACTCCCTTCCTTTCTAGCTCCCGTACCATCCCAGCTCTACCAAGCTGTTGGAGGGGGGGGGGAAGGGATGCGGGGTGCTTTCTCAACCCACTTTCCCACACGTGTTTCTCTTCCCTTCCTGCATTTTTCTCGAATGGCTGACGCAATGCGTCCCAGAGCGACGTGTGGAGTGCGACAGTGGCTAAGCTCCCCCCGCCATGTTCTGAGAGCGCAAATCATAAGGCACTCTCTATCTGGTCCCTCTCTCTCTTTCCCTTGGAATCTTCCTTCAGTCTTGCATGCATCCTTGCAGCTATAAATTTGGGAAGCATGATATTCTCTCTTTATTTTGCTTGGGAGTGGGGGCGTTTAAAAAAAAAAAAAAAAAAAAAAAAAAAGGGCGATCACGAGCATCGGCTAGCTGAGTGTAAGTTGGAGTTTGAGTGTGTGAGAGAGGGATTGGAAAGGCCTAACGAACTGGCTGCGATCATGCGGGGTTTATGTGTCGCTGTGACTTACTGCGAAACATGGGCGAGCCCAGTGTGCGTGATTGGGATAAGCGGGGTGATGGTCCAGAAGATTGATGGGTGCAAGATGATGGACTGTCCTTGCCAGAGTTTTGACTATGGTTGTGGAGCTCTTCTTCTAGTGATTTTTCCCAGAGAAAGAGGGGGCAACGCTTCTAACTTTGGGTCTTGAGCATGAGATCTTCTGCCATCTCTCTTTCCCTCCCCTCTCTTGTTGGCTGCCATGCATGTCCTCTAATTTTTGAAGAATAATTCAATTGTATTCCTTAGTTGGATGAATAGGTACCTGTTGTTCTAACTTGTTCATATGATATATCTTTGGTCGGGAGTACAGTGGATGATTAGGTGATGTCTTGATGTACTGTTCGGCGCAAGCACGAGTATGGAGATGCAAGATTCACAAAGAACACACACTCCATAGTGCACGCAAAATGAACACACCATAGTCATAGATAATGAAGAACCAATCGAGATAAATTCAAAATGATAAACCCATTGATGCTCATAACTTTTTTTTTTTTTTTTTTTTTTTTTCAAATTTTGTGAAAAGCCCTGTGATATCCCTCTATCCTGGCGGCGGTAAAAGAGCCGTCAAGATTGAGGGCTTACCTGTTGGGCTGCTCCATCTATTGGTGGGGAGCGACACCTGCTGGAAATCGGGTCCAGTGTCCCATTTATACATCATGTAGCACTTAAATTGGTGACTGTGGATTTCCTGGGGCTGTGCACCTTGATCGTCCCGGGGCTCCATTGTCCCATGGAACTGCTAATGTCACCCATCCCCTTGTCGGAGCTCCCCTTGTCCCTATGCCCAGCCCTGTTACGGCAGTCCCCCTGTTTGAAATTGCTGTGGCTGCTGTGCAATCCGTGTTCTATCAATGGTTGTATGCAGTCCCTACATACCCTGCCTTTTGTTCTGTGTTTGCCACTGTTTGGAGGGACTCCCTGGACCCGGTGCCAGTTATCTGCAGTATTCACTAGTGAAACGGTATTCACCAATTCGTGGTAGCTGAGGTAGATCCCAGGGCTCGATCCCTCGTTCCCCAACTTACCTGTGTACAATACCTGCGTCAACTCGAAGAGTTGAACCTGCGACCTGTAGAACCGCCAGTGGTAGGTAGGTCTGTCGTAGGTCTATAGGTAGCCAGGATTCGATCCGTAGACCTATAGACGGGAAGGCTAGCTGCAGTCCTTCTAGAAGGTTGCCAAGTGGTCAAGTGGTGCAGGCAAGTGGTCAAGTGGTGCAGGCAAGTGGTCAAGTGGTGCAGGCAAGTGGTCAAGTGGTGCAGGCAAGTGGGCAAGTGGTGTGACTAAAGCAGG